CTCTTTCAACCCTATTAGATTATTTAAGAGGTGGGACCTCCGAGATTTAAAAAAAAAACATCTCCGAAAAGATCAAGCCAAATAGGAAATTCATGTTAAGTGCCTTTCCCAAGGACACAAAGTCGGACCGAGCTGAGACTCGAACCCCCGAACACGCACTCTCACGATTACTGGTCCTGTGGACTAACCGATAGGCTACCGACACCTCTTTCGGCTCTCATATGACATGTGTTGCAAATGTTGCAAAACTTATTTAAATTATTTTTAAAAGAACTAAATTATGAACGATTTTGTTTCTTTTTTTTTCTCTTTTTTTTTTTGAGATTTGTTTGTTTTGTTTTGTTTTGGGGGGGGTTGTTGTTGGGGGGGGGGAATGGGTATGTTGTTTTGTTGTTTTTTGCGTAGCCAATTTTGCTTTTTTTCTGCGACTATTGTTCTCGATGCTAATCATCGACACTCGTACAACAAAAGTGTACTGCAAGTGCCGTAAAACTCATCTGACTAAGACACGTTTTTTCCCGTTTCCGCGGCCAGTATCCCCGATGAGTACAAGCAGAACAAGCTGGACAAGCAGTACCAGCAGATCGCCATGCAGTCCAAGAAGAAGCGCCAGGCGCCCATCCTCATGCAGCCCAACGACAACAGCCGGCCCAACTCTGGACGCCGGAACCGGGACGAGAGCCAGCCGCTGGTCAACAAAGGAGGCGCCGCGCCCAGGTCAAGGCCGGACCAGTCCAGTTACGGTGAGTAGTTTGTCCGTTGTTGAGTTATGGGGAAGTTGTTTGTTTGTTTTTCCTTGTGTTTTGTAGGATGGGGTGGGGGTATGTGTTTGTGTGTGTGTATGTGTGTGTGTGTGTGTGTGTGTGTGTGTGTTTTGTTTTTCTTTTGTTTTGTTCTTGAAATCTCTGCTGTTAGGCGCACTGAGCTGACGGAGTGGGAACGCACTATTTAACTACAAACTAATACAACGTATTACTCTTGTTCTTGTTATTGTAATGATTATTGTTAGCAGCTGTAAAAGTAGCAAATGCAAACTCGCACGCACACACACAACCACACTCACACACACACACACACACACACACACACACACACACACACACACATACGCACACACACACGTGCGCGCACGCACACACGCACACACACAAACACACGTGCGTGCGCACGTACGCACACACATACACTCACGCATAGATGGGTGGGTTGGTAGGTAGGTATGGAGGTAAGTAAATAGGTAGGATGTTTCAAACTCAAACTGATGAGTTCTCTGTTCTCGTTTCGGTGGGTTGGTAGGTAGTCCAACCGAAGGTCTCTCTGTTCTCGTTTCAATGTGTCGGTGGGTTGGTTGGAAGGTTGGTAGGTAGGTAGGTAGGTAGGTAGGTAGATAGATAGGTAGAATGTTTCAGGCTCCAACTGAAGGATTCTCTGTTCTCGTTTCAGTGCGTCGGTGGATTGGTTGGTAGATAGGTAGGTAGGTAGGTTGATAGGACGTTTTTAACTCCAACTGAAGGTCTCTATGTTCTCGTTTCAATGTGTAGGTAGGTAGGTTCAATGAATAAAAGCAATATCTTAAACCACCACTAATGGTCACTTTCTTTTCTGGTTTCAGTGTATACCGGCCCCGGTGCTATGGACGACCCCATAGGCGGCGGCGAGAACGGGTTCGGCGTGTACGACAGGGGCGGCGACAAGATGAAGATCGAGAACGTGACGATCGACGAGTCGAGGGACTTGAGCGACACAGACAGTGACGACATCCCCACTATACCCACAGGTTGGTGGCTGCTGGGGCTGGTGGTTGTGGTGAGGGGTGGAATTGGTGGTGGTGATTATGGTGCATATTATTATGGTTTTATTGATGGTGTTGGTGATGGAATTGGTTGTGGTGATTATGGAGCTGGTTATGGAATTGGCTTAGCGAGGGTTTGGTGGGTGCTCTGGTGTGGTTTGCTCCTTTTTGGGTGGTTTGTTGGTAGTGTTGCTGGTACTGGTGACGGTGGTAGTGGTGGTGGTAGTGGTGGTGTTTTTTCCGGTAATGGAATTGCTGCAGGTGTTGTTTTGTGGTGGTGGTATTGAGACTGGTGCTGGTGGTGTTTATGGTGATAACGCTGGTGCTGTTGCTGCTATTGCTGGTGCTTTTGTTTCTGATGGTGGTGATAGTGGATAGTGTAAAAATGGTTGCATGTGGTGGTGATTGTGATGGCATTGGTGTTGTTTTTGTTGCTGGTGGTAGTGTGTCAGTGTGCTTCTCTTCATTCAAACTAAACGAAGATTGATTGTTTAAGTATAATATGATAGTGGTTATAATTTGGTGATGGTGGTTATGGTAATGGCTCCCCCCCCGGCATCCCCAATCCTCTCTTGTTTGAAATTTGAACAAGCACAACAATGCAATTTGCTGCTGCTGAAAGTGTCATTTCTCCCATCAGGGGGCTCTGAGGTTGACGTACAATGACTGTCCGTCCGCTTCGGTCGTCGGATGCTGTGGTGCTCTGTTCCAACGTTTGTGCTGTCCATGACTCTTATATTGTATGTCCATAGTAGTCACTACTTTCCGCTTGTCGTTCTGTCTTCTTGCCTTCTAGCATTAATTCTTTTTGAAGTGCGTTGTGCCTCTTTGTGTGGCCAAAATATGGCAGTTTCTTAGCTTTGAGTTTGTTTAGGAGCCCCAGCGATGTTCCAAATATTTGGGAAACTTCTTCGTTGGGACCACACGTACGGATTCTTTTTTATTTCCAGACAATGATCCTGTACCGCCCCCTCGCGGCTCACGTCACGGGGGAGGCGGTCACCGAGGCTCCGCCCTCACGCCGTCTGGCCCCGCCCCCATGATAAACGAGGAGGATGTGGACAACGAGTCTGTGCCCATGCCGGTGGCGCCGAGCCAGGGTGGAGGGTCAAGGTCGCCCAGCCTGCAGGACGCGCCGCCCGTCAGCACTTTCCAGACTCAGAACAGTCGCAGCGACTCTCCGGTAGGGCGACTTGTGGTTGCTGTTATCGTTACTGTTGTTGTCGTTGATGATGATGTTGGTGATGTCAGTGGTGGTTGTGGTTTTTCTGTGGTGGTCTAGGTTTTTGGGAGGGAGGGGTTGGGTTAGGGGGGGGGGGTATCCTGTTGTTGATGTTGTTGTTGTTGTTGCTGCTGCTGGTGGTGGTAATGATGATGACGATGGTATTTAATGTTGTGATTGTTTGTGGTTCTATGCAACCGTTATAAATTGAACGATCTGTCGATCTGTCGTAGTTCATGCCTCTGATAGATCCCCCTTCTGTTCTTTAACCTTCTTTTCTTTAAGTCTATTGTGGCCATCTCTCTGACTTACCTTGTCCGTGCACTGAATGCCCTGTTATTGTGTCGATATGCTTCTCTTTATTTAAACGAATGCTGTTGTTAATGGTGTAGTGGTCTCTTTTTTTATTTTAGTCCTCGGAGGTTTTGCTTTGAACGTGTGATTTTGTTTGTTCATGCTCCCTCTATTGTGTGGTTGGTGTTTGCTTCTGTAACTACTGCAAGCATTGTTCGTTTTTCTAACTCCCATTTCTTCTCCTTGAGGCCTTACAGAGAGGAATAGAAAAGAAACTGCTCTGAGTTTAGATCTTTTTTTTTTTTAAGGATTTCCCTTCTTCCGGGTGTACTTCCAAATCACTGGGCGACAGAGCCTATGAATTTTAGATGTAGCCATATAAGAATTTCTCCTTGAAAGTGTTGAATATTATAGTGCTGTATATTTTCTTCCGTCTTTCTGTCTGTTAAGTGTTCGTTGTCCTCATTGACTCCTGTTTTTCTCTCCAACAATAATATGTGTTTTTATGGCATTGGTCTATGGTTTAGGGATTCTTTTTTTTTAGGTTTTAATTTGAACCTTTCTGGGCGAATGTTTTTCAAAGTGCCTTATTATAGTCCCTCTAGCCTGTGTGTATTGATTTACAAATCTGTCATGAGTGTTTTCCATCTTTTTTATGTACATGTCATTCGAAATTCTCTAATGAAAAGAATGAAGGAAGACTCTTTTAATAGAGTAACAGTAAAACGTGTAACGAAAAATTACTATTATTAGTTGCTAGACAGAAAGGACAGTTCTTTTCTTAAATTTGGGGATCAGGAATCAATCGTAAGTTTCATGTACCTTTAGAAAAGCTGGGGTTGATGGTTTCTCAAAAGGGAAAGGTGTCGGAACAGATTGTTTGGGGAGAGGGGGGGGGTACATGCTTGGGAAAAGAACAAACTGGCCATGTGTATAGTTTTGTAAGGCAACTAGTCGTGTCACATGCTTGTGTAAATATATTACCTCTTTTCGGGAAGCGATTTCTCGTTATAATATGGGCAAAATCTGCAGAGAGAGGTACTGGTGTATCGGCGTATGGCTCAGAATGAGTTTGAATGAAAACGAGGATTCCAGGTTGGGAAAATACCACGTGTTATTGTAATAGAAGTTGCCCCACTGTCATGGTATTCCTAAGCAATGACACGCTCACTTACAGAGGTTGGAAGAGATTGGGGACGCGCCCAAGAGGAAGAAAGAGAAGAAAAAGAAGAAGAAGAGGAAAGAGTCAGAAGCCATCGAGGACGGAGGGGACGAGGTGAGGGCGCGAGATGCTCATAGTGTGCTCACTCATCTTACAGTTATACACATAATATTGTTATTATTTATTATAACATTTGGTTCACGGTAATATCTGTACCTTAGTTTGCTTTCATTAGGGTGTGTGGTGCACTGACAAAACGTCGGCTAGCTTTTTAATTAAATGATGTTCTTAGCTCAGATAGCAATTTTTTTCATCAGGCGGGAGAAAAAAAATGTACCAGTTTTCTAAAAGAAATGTGCTTACGTGATGTATCGTGGGTTGGGAGGGGGTCGGTTGTTGTTTTTTTTTTGGGGGGGGGGGGGTCTTTTGTTTTGTTATATATTCCAATTTCGGAATTTTAGTTTCGATAGAATATTTCTTTAGCAAGTGCAACCGATATCACAGATTAAGAAGTTTCAATAAAAAGAAATTTTCAAAATGTTAACATTATTTTTAGTAAGGTAGCGTCCATGCCGAACACTAACTAACGCCGACAGATTATACAGACTGTATTGCCCGATACATTGCTCTTCAGAACCAAGTGAAATTACCAATCGTGTCATGGTGGCCGCGTACTCAGTTTAAACGTAGATGTAGTAGTGTTGAAGAGCAGTTTGCCGTGCTCTGCTATTTTGTTTCTCTCTTCATCTGTCTTTCGAGGATTGCTACCGTCCAACAAAGCCACACCCTTGGGAGTAGGGGAAAAAAACGGTTTGGACCCAATGAACGAGGTCCCAGAGAAAGTTTTGGTCTGAACTGACGTTTATTTGATTTTAAGGACGCCTCAAGGTCGTATTCAAAAGTCTCAGTATAGACAGTTTTGTCTCAGTGCCCCACACGCCTAAGTTCGTACTTTATTCAAAGACTGGTCTCATGCTCAAACGTCTGCTGTATTCAAAATCAGTCAGCATTTGCCACCAAAGGGATATTGTTTCGTAATAAAAATTATTTATTTAATTTCGCTTTTTGTCATTGTCGTAACTGGGACAGAGGGTGGCTCCAGTTTTTGACACTGCCTTGCTGGCACGCTGTTCTCTCGCAGTAATTAGAGCAGAGAGTCCAGTCTTTGGGTGAAAAGTTCTTTAGTTTGCGCCAGTTGTAATAACACGTTACTTCTAAGGGGGGGGGGGGGGGGGTTCCATTGTGTTTGTCGAGGGGTGTCTTTTTTTTTTTGTCTTTTGAACCACATGTCTTCCCGACGGCTTCCCTATACTTTATACTGTTCCTCGAAAATGGCTAATTTTGGAATATTTTTATGAGATACAGTTATGCGTTATTTTAGTGCATGTGGTGTAAATGCTGTGAAAGCTATTTACCTCTATTGCAGTCCCAGTGGTTTCTGTTGCCTAGATACTTAGAAGCAGGCGTTATTTGGCTTTGAATTCCTCGTAGAAATGTACGAAGGGTCCACATTTAAAAGATAAGTTTGAACAAAAGTTTTCTCCTTTTAGTTTTTTGGAGGGGTTTTTTTTTTGGGGGGGGGGGTGTGGATGCCGAAAGGTTGTAATTACTTTAGTTTATCAATGAACAACCTAATGTTCCAATATAATATTATAACAGTTCCATTTCTATTTTAGGTGGGGGGAGGCCAGGGGAGGGGGGGGGGGCAAATTAAAGTATAGGGAAGCCGTCCTTATATAAAATTTCAGTTCAAAACGATTGCGCTATATTATCCCCCACAATTTCCTTTCCCTTTCCCTACCTGCTCTTCCTTCGCTTCAGTGTGCTTTTTAGTATATGAAACCCCGCCAATGATTTCAGAGCTGCTTCGATGTTATTTCTTCAGCGACATTCCACAATCGCTCAGGTCAATTTCCAGATAAAACCTTATTTCAAATACAGTTGGGTTTTTTTTCGATACTCAATTCCTAGATTTTGATGGAAGAATAGAGAGCGGCCAAGTCGTGATTCTGAATTGGGCGATCACTTTTTGGTCAAGTTTTCTCAAAACTTTTTTTTAAAAGAGGGGGGGGGGGTTGACTTAAGTGATTATGGTATGACTCTCACAATTTTGTTCCGCACTTTATTTTAATTTCCATGTATCGTATTGTATTATGTATAATTTGTATTTGTAGTTCCAACAATAGAGCATTATTTTTGTTCTGCTTTATCAGACTTGACCTTAACTGAATTTTCTTCTTGGTCATTTAGATCAACATTTACCTGCGTTATTAGATTGTAGATGTTGTAACTATTGTAACTCTAACACCACGTATTCTGCAGTGCTCTCAATAGTTGAACTCACACTTTTTGATGCTCACTTTCTGAACTCACAACTTCTTTGCTTAATTGTATCCCATGCTGGTTTGTTCATTCGGTTGTTGGTTTGTTTGTTTGTGTATTTGTTTGTTTTGATTTTGTTTGGGGGGTGGAGGGGGGGGGGGATGGGGTTGTTGTTGTTTTGGTTAGGGGGGTGGGGGTAGTTTTGGGGGGTTTTTTGTTTGTTTGTTTTATTTGTAGCTAAAGCCGTAACTATGTACGATAATACGTTAACGTTTAAACGAATTCACTGGAGAACCGTTCCTTTACGAAACTGATGGAACTGGCGCCTGTGGTGTAGCCTCTTTTTGTATCCCCCTCCTCCTCCTCCTCCTTCTGCTGCTGTTGCGCGCTGGAGACCTGCGTTCGATGCCCGAGTGGGGACTTTTTTTTATATTGAGTATCTTGGTCTTTCTAGTGGAACCTAGTATCCCTCTCAGCCCGAGCTGAACCTAAAAGGCAGAGTTGGAAGCCTGTCTCCTAAATGGCCCGAACTGTGTTTATGCAGCTGTAATAACACCTACATTAAAAAAAAGCAGATCTACTCCAAGACTACAGAACAAAAACATCGACATACCGTCATGCTTATCATTAAATAAAGGACGAATGTCTATAGTCTTAATGACGTCAGTGATGTGCCGGTAAGGCTCTGCCCCGTTACTCGCCAAAGACACACGTTCAAACCCTATGTACTCAGGTCTGCTTTGTTGAGTCAGTCTTCTAGGATGTTGTATTCGTTTTTTTTATTGTTATTTTGGTGTTTTACGGCGCTCGCATCTGCATAAGGTCATATAATATCAGCGCACGGGATACATTAAACGTTTTCAGTTTGGAAGGAATTAATTTTGAATTTTGCCCGTGTGGCGGCCGAAGCCTATTCTTATGGATTTTGTACCACTAAATAAGGGATCTTTAAAGTGCGCAACTCCGAGATTTTTCACCCTTATCTGAAAGGTTAGGTATTAGATCTTACCTACCTTAAGATTAGGTGTGTGGCTGAAAGACAGCAGTATGAAGGAGCCAAGGAGTAGCAGTAGAATGACTGAAGAAAGAGTCGGGAGCTCAGAGGAGGGGGCAGAGAGGGGTGCTGGGGCAGAATGTGGAGACGAAAGCAGACGGTTGGGGGGGTGAATGTTTTGTTTGTTTTGTGGGGATTGCTCTTGGTTTTTTCTTTTCTTTTCTGGGGGGGGGGGTTGCGGAAGGTGGGAGGGTTTGTTTGTTTTCTTGCTTTGTTTTGTTTTTTTGTTTTTTGTTGTTGTTGTTTTGTGTGGGGTTGTTGTTGTTTTTTTTTTGGGGGGGGGTGACGTTCGTTTTGCGTGTCTTGGCTTTTTCTCGCATTTGAAATGACATTTTGTGACTAGATTTTTTAAAAATATAATTTTATTTATTTCTTTTTATGCTGCATAAGTTCATGGTTTTTCAAAGCACTTAAACGTCATAATGCCTTATCATTATCTTTAATTCAACTGAAGATATATGAAAATGAGCGTCCTTGCCGAGTTATGTAATTTTAGACCGTTATTCCTAATGCAATTTTTTTAACGTATTAGTTTGAAAGCAGACGAACAATGCAGTTGAAAATAAAGTATACGTTCAGTGATTTTTTTTTTATAGAACATGTACTCCCACACTGGGGGGGGGGGGTATCTTCCTCCTCCTCCTCCTCCTTCTGCAGCTTCTCTTCCTCCTCCTCTTTCTCCTCTTTCTCCTCCTCCTCCCCCTGCTCCTCCTCCTCCTCCTCCCTATCATTGCTCATGCTATTACTTTGTATTATCTGCCCCTCTTTTGTATCACCATCAAACCAAACAAACCCCAAACATCCCAGGAAACATCGCTTTCTTTTTTGGTTACAATTTGATTTCAGTCTGTTTGCTTTTATAAGATTTCTATAACCCCTTTTGTCCCTGCGAAAACGTCATCGTCTTCATAACAGTGGTGACGAAAATAGTAATAACAACAGCAGTAATACTAACAAAAATAATAATAATTGATAGTAATAATTATTATTATTCATTATTATAATAATGATCATAATAAAAATGATAATAATGACAGTATTAATATCAGTGTTATCGATATCATTATCATGATCCTGTATTATTTCTAATAGATCTGATAACTAACTTGCACGCGATAATGCTTTATACAATTACCTGTCATTATAAACTCATTCTGCTATACAATAATTGTTAGACTCATAATTGACCTTGTTTGTTTATATGGATTGTGTTCAGCTTCATTGTCAACATAACTTGGTTCAAGAGAAAACTTCTATGCTTATTTGTTTTTCTTTGGTGTCTTTTTATAAACACTGATTTCACTTAGAGACAAACCTTGAAGGTATTTTTCTTCCCCCCCCCCCCTCCCTTTTTCCTTTTTCAAGCCCCAGTCTCTCTCTCTCTCTCTCTCTCTCTCTCTCTCTCTCTCTCTCTCTCTCTCTCTCTCTCTCTCTCTCTCTCTCTCTCTCTCTCCCCCTCCCCGCCCCACAGAATGCTGCGAGGCCTTTAGCTTGTTTTCAATTGGAGATCGAAGGGGCCTTTGCTGCTGTACATTACATTGAAATTATAACATCAAGGCCACTATCCTTGTTTCCCCCAGGGATGCAGTGTAGAAAGTGTTTGTGTAAGCCCTGCTTACGTCTTCTTCGGGGTGTCATAGGGACATGTTTGTCATGTATTTTAATTTTAACATTGGCATCGTTCGTACACCTCCCAGTGAAAGTGTTAGTGTTAACAACGCACATACTCACGCACACACACACACACACACACACACACACACACACACACACACACACACACACACACACACACACACACACACACTTTCCACCTGTCTCAATTCTTTTTTCTCAAGTACAATACTTACTACCTCGATCCACATCCACTTTCTTTCCTTCTTCCCCATCCTTCATTCTCACCTTTAGAACAGGTGCTCTGTTTTGGAAATAACCCATTCGAGTCCGATGTAACACCACTGCCAAAACAAATTGATTTGTTTTTTAAATGACAAACCCAAACGTATTAAAAAGCAAAACGGCCAATCCAAAAGTATCCTTTCGATTTTTAGATACATAAATAGATAAATAAATAAATAATAAATAGATAAATAAATAAATAAGTAAATAAGTAAATAAATAAATAAATATTTTCTAGATTTAAAATAAGAAACCGAACTCAATGAGTACCACCTGTCTTGTTTGTCAGGACCACCAGCAGGAGAACGAGAGCGACATGGCGTCGGGTGTGGGGGCGGGGCGACCTCGCTCCTACACGCCAGACGCCTCCGAGCTGGAGGACTTCGTGCTACGCCCCGCCCCCCAGGGCGTGACCATGAAGTGCCGCATCACACGCGACAAGAGGGGCGTGGACAGAAACATCTATCCCACCTACTTCCTTCACCTGGAGCAGGACAGCGGCAGGAAGGTACAGGGGCAGAGACTCGTGGGTTGTTTATTGGTTTGTTGTCCTCCTCCTCCTTCCCTCCTCCTCCTCAACGCCCTCTTTCTCACCCTCTTCATCGCCCTCCTTCTCGCCCTTCTCTTCCTCCTTCTCCTCCTCCTTCTTCTTCTTCCTCCTCCTCTTCCTCCTCCTCCTCCTTCTCCTCCTCCTCTTCCTCCTTCTCCTCCTCCTCTTCCTCCTCTTTCTCCTCCTCCTCCCGATGGTGATGATGGTGGTGCTGATAAATATGCTTCACTGTACTCAAACTTGATTCGTTCTGTGTTCAGGTCTTCTTGTTGGCTGGCAGGAAGCGCAAGAAGAGTGCTACCTCCAATTACCTCATCTCCACCGACCCCACAGACTTGACGCGGAACGCAGAGTCTTACTGCGGAAAACTCAGGTGATTCTCACGTTTTGTCTTGTCCATGATGCTGCTGAGGATGCTTTAGGCAAGTGATGGTGATGGTGGTGATGTTGATAAATGCAGTAATGGTGTTTATAATGGTGGTGGTGGTGATGTGGAAGTTGATAAATGTAGTAATGATGTTCATGCTGGTGGTGGTGGTGGTGGTGATTTGGATGTTTATAAATTGTGACAATGATGTTTAGGACGGTAGTGGTGATGCTGTGAGTGTTGATAAATGTTACAATGATGGTTGTGGTTGTGGTGGTGGTGATTGTAGGGGTGATGCAATGGATGTGATAAATGTAGCTATGATATAAATGATAGTGATGGGGATGCTGTGGGTGTTGATAAAAGTAGCAATAATATTGATGGTAACGGTAGTGATGGTAGTGATAGCGGTGATGGTGGTGATAATGCTGTGGATGTTGATAAATGTGACAGTGATTTTCATGGTGGTGTTGGTGGAGATGGTGATGGTAATGCTGTAGAGGCTTGATAACTAGCTCTGATGTTAATGATGATGGTAGTGCATGAAGCTGTACCAGATTTGATGGTAATAGCTGTGATGTTGTTGATATTTGTTGTTGAAGGTGGCAGAGTTGTAATGCCTCGTTTTACATTGAGTGTTTTCTTCCTCTCCAGATCCAACCTCCTTGGTACACAATTCACGTTGTTTGACCATGGAGACAACCCCAAGAAAAGTGGACCGCAGGCTGCAAGGCAGGAACTGGTGGCTGCAGCTTATGTAAGTTGTTCTCTAGCTCTTCTTCTCTTCACTAATGGTCAAAATCACTATTGTCCCAGAAGTCGACCGTCCGTCTGTCACAGAAGGTCTTAAAACTCACCAGGAGTAGTGAGTAGAGAAATGTAAAATGTTATTCATAATAATTGTAAAGCACATTGAGCATGCTGTAGAGCCGCTTATCATCATTATTATTATTACCATGACTAGCCTACTGGATCAAGATTTTTTTAAATATATTTTTGTTTAGACGCTGGCTTCAGAAGTGCCATGAAAAGTTTTGTTGTCAAAAGTAAATTAATGGACGTGCTAGAAATTTTTTTACACAGACAGACGAAAGTGAATAAGCTATAGTTGATTTGATTGTTTGCTTTTGTTGGTGGTTTTCAGGAAACAAATGTATTAGGATTCAAAGGCCCTCGCAAAATGACCATCATCATCCCAGGGATGACGAGTGAACACCAGAGAGTGAACATCAAACCTCAGGGGGTGAGTTTATGTGTGTGTGTGCATTTGTGTGTATCTTTGTTAGTAGGTGTGATTCTGATTGGTTTGTATGTGTCTGCTTCTGTGTACATACGAATGGGTTAACACATGTTTGTGTATGTTAAATATATGTTTGTGAGAAGGTGTATCTCAGATTTGTAAGTTTGTGTTTCTTTGTGTGTATTCATAAGAATGTGTTTGGGTAAGTGAATATAAATGTTTTTACTTGATCACATGTGCATACTTTTCAAATCTATGAGAAAGCTTTTTTTTTCCTCCTCTCTTTCTCAGCAGAGTGTGTCCTTTTATTTGACTGAGTGCCTCACCCTGGAACTGACCAATTCTGTGTCACTGTTTTCTTTATTTATACTAAAACTCAACCTTTTTTGTTTCTTCTAGGTTTATATATATGGTTTTGGTCTTAGATCTTTTTTTCCTTTTGTTTCTTTTAATTTTTCATTTGCCTTTGTCTTAACCCTTTGAGCCCATAGCAGCGGCACACTGATGGTGCAGCACTTTGGCAACAATAATCTGTAGCTCTGGTTCACAGATGTGAGGAAAGAGCACTGAATTGTCAGGCAGAAAAAGGCAGTAATTTTCCATCAATCAGAACGGTAGTTTCTGTCAAAATTCTATTGTGGGATACCAACATGGCTGCACTCTTTCACGCACATTTTGATTACATTCTGTGCTGAATTACTGGGTTTTTTCATGATGAAGTGCTCTCTCTCTCCATGAACCCGGAAGCTCAGGAGATCAGGATTTAGGTAAAATTAGGATCTGCTCAGAGCTCAAAGGGTTGATAATTTTTCAACTACACAGGTGAAATGATGATTTATAACTCTGACTCAGAGTTGTATGAATGATTGCATTAATTTTCTTCTTACCTCAGGGTCATGACGGACTCATTGAGAGGTGGAAGAGAAAGGACATGGAAAACCTGCTGGAGCTGCACAACAAAACACCCGTCTGGAATGAAGGTATGAGCTGCACTTGACAAAGAAGGGGAGGAAGAAAGATAAAATCTCCCTCTTC